TTCTTAAATTCTTAATTTAAAATTCTTAATAAATTAAAATCACAAATTATTGGTTAAAATATCATAAATTAATTCTTTAAATACTCATAGCAAACTGTATAATTTCTGGAAATTGATTTTACTTCTTGTAAAAGACCATTAGAAAAGTTGTAATTTTAATGTTTCATTTCAAAAAAATGAAAAAAAGAATTAAATCCTATTAAATATATACTTACAAACATATACGTATTAAAATAAATTCAAAACCATTATATTAACATTCATATATATGCACTCATATACTATATATATATACATATATAAAGAGAGAGAATAAACGCATGTAATAAAAGTATACATTATTACTTTTATTTCAATTCCGTTTAATTTTTGAGTAATGTGTAGCGTAAAAGCATTTCTTAATACCATAAGTCCTTATATGTCAATTTTATGTTAAATTATCGGTTCAATGACTATATAAATTAAAAAAAAAAGAAAACTAACAGCTAGACGTAATACAATACAGTTATACTCAGATAATCTGGAAAAAAAAAAACAAATAAGGTATCGATTTTCGACAAGGTTTTGTAAGTAGGAAATTTTCATTAAAATAATTTAATTTAAAATGCAATAATTAATTAACAATTATTTTTAAAAATTTACAATAATATTATAGATTTCTCAAAATGAACAGTAGCGGCATTTCTTCCGAAGGCTTACCATCCTAAGGCAAATACTTTTTATTTTATGGAAAAAAAACTTATTTTATAAATTCAAAATTTTAACTTTCAGAATTTTGTTTACTTAATAGCAAAACTGTAATTTTGATATACATGAAACTGAAATCAATGCTGAAAAAGTTAATGGCTCTCCCACTTTTAACCCAGTCTTCACAATATTTTATAGCAAATTTACAAAATGACGTGCGTCGTACAATTTGTCGTAAATTAAATTTTGATTTCGAAAATATTCTTATTTTTTTTTAACCTTCTCTTTATATTTTATACTCATATGTACATAATTAATATATATGTTCATATATGCATATATATGACTAGCTTTTTTTGTTTTTATTTTTTTATTTTATTTCTTTATATTTACAAGTATATTATTGCAGAAATTAAAGGTAAATTTTTTCTCTTTATCATCTGACAAAAAAGAGAATAAGATCATCGTTATTATTTTTTTTTACCTTTGGGTATATTTTAAAGCCTAACGTCTGCTTTAATATTCTCGTTATATTGATGAGATTATATTAAATCTATTGTGGTTTGAGATCAGAAATTTGAAAAAAGAAACTGTAGATACAACTAAATATTATATAACATTATATACTTATTTTAAGAAATATATATTCATGCACATAGTATATACAGAGCGAATGTACAAGTTGATATTTTATATAAAATTTTAATATTAAATATAAAAATATATGTAAATTATTAAGACGTATATATGCATATGTACATCTTTGTGTGTATATTTGTTCTTGCATATATAGCTTATACAACATATGCATTTTAATATTAATATATTGTATACATATATGGAAGCTAGGATAAACAAACCATGCAAAGAATATTGCATTCGTTTTTATTAAAATTAAAATATCTGATGTGTTCATCACAAGCAAAACTACTCTATTCAGCTATATGATAGAGAAAAAAAAAACATTTTTCAGAATAAATCTTCAGGAATAGTCTAATCTTCTAATAGAGCGAAATCATTTATTTTTGCTCATAAAATTGGGTCAATTTTGCGACAAAATCAAATGAGAAAAAAAAAAGTTTTTTTTTTATTGCAATTATTTCAAAAGCAGACATTTTTGTTTTTTATCATAACTTTTTTATTTATATAATAGACATACTTAAAATATGTGTACAGTTTTGTGTTTTTTTTTTGTTATAGAAAATGTAGTAGACATACATATAAATATGACGTTCTCATTTCATAGTTAATTTAAAAAAAAAAATATGATGCAACTAGGAAAAATAAATTGCATTATCAAGGAATATATGAATTAAAAAAAAAAAATATTCAATTATTTTTTCTTTAACAGGAAATATTCGTGTGTATATAAATAATTTAATTTAATAGGAGTAAATTAAAATTATTTACGTAATAATATTTTAAAGCATCCTTTTTATTAATAAATTCATATTTATATAAAAGTCTAGTTAACTGAAGTTTATTGACTTAAGAATAAATCTTTGTTATTAATATTATGTGAAACTTATTTATTTACGAATAAATTACGATGGAAGAACTGCTGTCTTTCTCTTTCTGTTCGAAATAATTGTATACTTACAATATTAATTTGAAAATTTCATATTTATAGGGAAATATCTTTCAAACTTAATATTATTTAAAGATATATAGTAATTTGTTTTTTATACATACCTAAAATTTTTCGAAAATCCTATCACCGTCATTCACTGTCATAGGACATACATATATAATATTATAACCATATTATATTATAATATAACAATATCATTACAATTGTCGTTCAATATTCTAAAAATTTAATTAAATTTTAAAACCGAAAATATTATATTATTTTATACACATATAATTACAAAGATTACGCTGTTGACCTCAGTCTCTCTCTTTTTTCATTGTGGTTTAATAAATTTACCATTAATTTTTTCTTTATGTAAAGTTAATAAATGATAAAATAGTACGTTACGCATAATTCTTTATCTGCATCAACTAATAGAACATAATTTTTGATGCTATGTAAAAATACCAAAATGACATAGACTCGTAGAAGAATATTATATTAACGAAAGCCCGAAGAACCTTTTCTATTATGAAACCCATTGAATTTCTGAAGATTCACAAAATTTAATACAGGGAATAATGTACAAAAAACAGAATTATAAGTAATCAAAAAAATGATTTTAGAATAATAAAAATCTTAAATTTTTTAAAAATTTTTTTTAAATTTTTCTCATAAGTTGATCAACATTTAATTTGCTAATATAAATTATTCTATATTAACAGTATATTTTGTATATTTTATTTTATTATTGACAATTCATATGTTAAAATACATTTGATTTAAATTCATTGCATTGAAAAATTATTGGTAAGATTTTTATCTTACTAATAAAATATTGTGAACATTTTTATATAATTCTTTTAAATTTATATGAAGCAAGATAATAAACATAGTCATCAAGTTGAAAAATCATAATAATTTCAAAAAATATTTTTTTATTTTGGTATGTTTTCGCTTCATATTTGCTTAAAATAATAATTTAAAATCTTTGAAAAAAAAAAAAAAACAAACGATGAGCTCACACAAATCACTCACTATGCGCTCAGTTAATTTAAGCACACAAAAAAAAAAAATATAATAATAATAAATGTACTTGCACACACACAAACATGTGTATTTTTTAAAAGAGTATACAGAACATATCCTTGAAGTTATAAACTTATAATCACTGCAAAGGATATAGACTACATGAATGTATACAAATACATATAAAAACTTTACGCCATATTTTGAATGAAGAAAACAAAATTTCGAATCATTCGTAAAGAATAAGACAAAATAATGTGTAAATATTAAAAATTTATGTACATACATATACATATACACATTTACGTTTTTTGTATTTTTTCTAATGTTTTTTAATTAATATTACAAATTATATAATAAAAATCCAAACTCATATTTTTTTAAAAAATAAAGTAAATTGCAAAATTTCTTTGAAAAATAAGAATTTATATAATTCTATTAATAACTACGATTGAAATTTTTCTATATTATCGCTCATTTTTGTATTAATTTTATGGGACATTAACGCTAAACAGACTTAATAAACAAAATTAAATTCATTAAATTTTATTTTCAGATATTTACTTTAAGTGCATTACTACAAATAAAAAAGACTAGACAAATAACCAGAGATTTATTAGAAATTTTATTTTGTTATAAAATCTATGTACTATGTCAGTATTTTCAAATCACAAACATAATGCTTTAAAAATTTAGCATACAACCTCTTAGTCGTCTTACATTAGACGTTCCTGGTCTATAATCTAGCAATATTTCGATTGTAAATGTAATGAGTAGTTGATTTATTGTATTATTAGCAATTTTTTTTACAACAGCATGCCGGTTATTATGAAAATTATTAGTCCAAAAGGAAAAAACTTTGTAGTAGAATATGTGACACCGTCTAATTTCCTGTAAAATAAAATAAACTAATTTTTTTTTATAATTGTTATTAATTTTATTTTCAATTAATTTTTTATCATTCAATATTTTTGACTCCTTTTTGAATTGTGTTCTAATAATTTTAAAAATTACAGTAATTATTTTCATATAATTTCCTTTTTTATCGACTTTACTTTTTAAACAACAAAATTTTTTTTTATTAAACGTAATTTTTATAATTTTAATAAAATTTTTAAATTATTGTTTTAAATTTGTTTAGTAAACTTTTAACAAAAATAATTGACAAAAACCAATTTTAAATTTTTTGTTTTGCATAACAAAATTAGGAATTTTTTTGAATTACATATATATTTATATATTAAGTTAATTTTAAAATATAACTTTCAATAAACAATTCTGTGATTGATAAAATATACATAATTGTTTTAAATCATTTTCATTTCTATTCTTTCAGCATATTCTACAGTTTTTCTTTGAGTTTATGCACGAGTACATATTACAAAATTTAATAAATAATGTTGTTAGGTATTCATTCATCGTAAAACTTGATATTTATTCCTTTTCATATTTACTGTTCTAAAAGAAACAAAAAATATCAAAAATGTGAAAAAAAATACATAAATATTTAACTTTTTTAACATATTTTTCAATTGCTTCTTTTGAATATAAATATAATTATTATGTATTTTATTATTTTAAAATAATAATTTAATTTTCATTCAGATTCATTTATAACTTATGATTTAATGGTACTTATTTTGGTTTTATGTTATACAATATTTTGATGTTAAAAGTTTGTGGTAAGCTAAAAACTGTATAATTTTAAATAAAGAAGAACGGCAGAATCCGTAACTTTTAATTATACATATAAGTAATTGATTGGATGGGACTAAATAATATTTGAATTGAGTGTAAATTAAATAAAATTATTAATAATTAGTTGGACATATAATATACATAATTATGTAAATAATTTATATTAAATATAAAAAATATAAATATTATATTTTAAAATATTTGCATTTTTAAAATTATCTTATTTTTTTTTATAGATATTTTTTGCGAAAATGTTGCCAATTTAAACTACCCGTAAAATAATAAAAACATTTAATAGCCACTTTAATTAAAGATAAAAACAATCAATATGTATAACAATATGTAAGTATATCAAATTTAATATTAAATTTGAATTATCTACGTTTATGCTATTATTACTGAATATGCAACAATGTTAAAACAAATTAAAAAATCGAATAATAGTTAATAAGGTAATTCCGATTATTAATTTTGATATTCAACTTCAAAAGATTTCTTTTTGTTTTCCATAAATTAGATATTTGTTATGCAAATAATATGGTAATTGTTAAAAGTTATTATATTTAAAATTAAATTAAACATATTTATGCATTAATATTTTGAGCAAATTTTTATTAAATACAATATAATTAATATGATAATAAAGTAATAATAGCACCCAATATAATAATTACTGTGGCAATTGTTAAAAGAAATTATGCAACTGTGCTTCTCAAAAAACTGCTTTGAGATATCTACTGAAATATATGCAGAATTATAAGAGCAAACAATGCAATTGCAATAAAAAAAATTTTACATAATTGCCCGATAATTAATTATATATGATATAGATATTATATTATTAATAATCCATCAAAAAATTTTGTAAATAAAACGAATGATACTAATTTCGGTTTAATTTTGAAATATGAAAAAGTTGTTCGATTAACAGGAATGCGATATATAATTCTACCTATATAAGGACTATAGCAATTCCATCTCCTTTATAATATATTACTATATGAAAATATTTTATATGTATTTCATAGGTATTTTTTTATTGCTTATAATTTCAACTTTTTATGTTTTTCTTTAACTTAACTCAATCATTACCAATAAATCAACTTTGATTATGTTTTTCTTAAAACTTCTTCGATTCTCAATATTTTTGCAAACAAGAACTAATACTTATCTCTAACAAAATTTATAATAATTTAACATTCACTGCTTATATATTTTTGTACAGGAATTAAAATAACTAAATCATTTAAAAAAAAAAAAAAGAAATACAACTTTAATAATATATTTTTTTTTAATTATTAATTAGTTTTTAACTAGAGGCAAACTCTAGGCACTTTATTATATATTTAATATTACATTCATATTAAGGTTTTGAAAGTTAAAACGGAACATCTTTGTATTTCAAAAATTGTACAAAAAAAAATGTTTTGGTTTTTTATATTTTGTTTCGTTTCGACAAATAAGTTATTGTTGTTATATATATTTGCATTATATATTTAAATGTTATTTTAAAAAATTTTTTGTTATTCTATTAGCATACTTTTTTTTTCTTTTTTTTTTCTTGTTAAATATTATAGAAAAGGCAAATAAAAAATCAGTCCTTAAAAAAATAAAATATGTTAACGTGTAAAAATAAAATATTGGTTCATACATCCTCGGCTTCATCAATTTGTTTTGGTACAGCAATATATATATTTAAGTATTCTGTTAAATTGGCCAATATGCATGGATCAACAGTTAACATTAAGGTTTGATAACGTTGTTCCCCTAAATTCGTTTTGAGCGTACCCAACTAAAATTAAATATAATTAAAAAATTATTTTTCAAAGGCGATCAATACTGGAAATTACTTGATTTTGAATATAATCTTTTAAAATTATTCGATACACAGGATCTTTTAAACATATTTTTCTACATCGTTCACTATGGTACGTATTATAATCAAATTCTTCAACGGGACACATAATGGAATTAAAATCTTCTTCATCAAAAAATACTAAAGAACTAAATTGAATAAAAAGAACTCAAATAAATACATAATTTTGAAACGTCATTCATTTTGAAACATACTCTACAACTTTATTATCAGTTTCTCCGGTTGTATAATCCTCTTTCATAATATCATTTAGAGATTCACAAATATTTTGCAAAATACCAGGAAATCTTTCATAAAATATTTGATTATCTACAGTTATTAGTGATCCTAAAGCTAGACCTTTAAAATAGAAAAATAAGTAAAATAAACATTAACATTAATTTAATCTATAAAATTTTTGAGGTTGATACTTATTATAACTACTCAATATAATAACATACTCAAATATATCTTACTCACTTAATAATTTTCGTTTTTCCGTTTGTGTTACTAAAGGCATTTTGGAAATCCATGCATCGATTACCTTTTCTAATGGTTTTTCTAAATTAATTGATTGAAGAGCTTCAATGAAAACTTGTTGATCTATAATTAAAACTCTTGCTAATATTGCTAGATACATACTCATAACTAATGGATAATCTTTATTTTCGTAAACTTGCCTAAAATAAATTAAATATAGCTTAATAAATTACCATAGAAAATAACAAGTAATTAAAATATCATTACTTAAATATGTGTGGTAATGCTGGTCTAAGTAATTCTAAACCCATTGTTGGTTCAACTCGAAGCATTGTTTCATATAATTTCATGACCATTGCAATACCTTCCGTTCTCATGTCATTTAATAAATAAGCACATGTTGACACAACTTGTTTACCAAAACGTTGTAAATATACCTCTGGTGATAACAAAATATAAGCTTGTATTAAATGTAAAACTGTTCTTAAATTTTCTGATGAGTTTTCTGAAAAAAATTAACAAAATTTTATCATAATTTTAGTTATTATATTTGAAATTATAATTAAATTTATATCAACACTACAATTTTAATTAATAAAAAAATTTATAATAATTTATAATAAAATATTTATTACCAATTATTGGTAGCAAATTTTCACACAATTGTAACAGTTCTTGCGATATTTGTGAAGTATTTTCAACAACAGCTAACCATAACTCGAGACCTTCTTCCATCAAATAAATATGTGAAGGTTCCTTAATATTAGTACTTATCGATATTACAGGATATAAAAAAGGTGACAAAATTGGTGGAATATCGTATAGAGCTTTAACTATTTGTAACTAAAAATTAATAATTATCAAGGTTTATTAAAAAAATTAATTAATAATAAAATTAAAATAATAATTTTAAAATCAAAAACTTAATTCAATAAAAATCCACTTCAAATATTTAAAAAAAAAATTTTAAGGTAAAATTACAAGAAATTCAATAATTTTTACAAGTTCAAGAAACAAATCAAAATTAAACTTTAAAGTAAAACTGATGTCCTGTTTTTGTTGTGGAACATTGAAATAACAAAATTTTAGTTAAAAAAATTTTTTCAAACTAAGCACTTAGGCTCTTTTTTATTAACTGAAACAATTAATTTCTTTTTAATTCTTACCAAAGTTGATATAATGGCACATCGAAGCATATTGTGATCTTCACTTTCTTTCCATAAATATGGTAAATATGATATTAAATTGTCAGCATGAGATTGTATGTTATCACCCATTTTATCCACTATAAATGACATGGTACAAAGTACATTCATCTAAAACGTAAATAAATAAAAATTAATTAACATATTATATTAAATTAATTTAAAAACAAAATATTAAAAAAATATTCTATTTACTTTTGTATCACATTCCTTTGCTTCTTTTAATAATGAAAATAAAGCTGAAAAACCAGGCTCCAAATAAGGTAAAAATGATTCTGATGAAAAATCAAAATCATCAATTGTCATCATCAATGTTCTAAAAATTGTCGATATTAAATAAAAATTAATTAATTTTGAATTAATTTAAAAAGTTTATAAAATATATATGTAGGTACATTCTTGAATTAAGAAGCAGCTATTTGAATATCAAAAATCCATTTCCAATAAGGTTCGAAGCTATACAAATGAATTTAAATTTAATAAAAGAAAAACAAATTTTCCGTTCATTAAAGTTCCATTTAAAATGGAAATTGAAATAAAATTTTCAAATCCTCAAGTGAAATTTTTTTTATATTGAATTTCAGAAATTCACAGTGATGGAACAAAGAATCTTTTTAATATTTTCGAATACCCTTAAAAGTATATAGTAACTCCATACCAAGTACTTGGAAAAAACTGAGTTCAAAATAATTAATAAAAAAAATATTCGTATTAAAATTAAATATTGATTGACCTTAACATTTTGCATATGTATGTAAAACAAAGATAAAAATTATTTTTAATGGCATTTTATTTTTCAGCAGTAATATGTAATTATTGATCATAATCTAGGTTATTTAAATTATTTAAATTGCATTTCCATGTTTACATATACACTTTTACATTGTATATACTCGTATATGTATATATACATATGTGCATAATTGTCTAGGTAGTTTTTAAAGCTAAATTTTTATCACCATCACTTTTATATGGTTCTTTAGTAAAATAATAAATGGCATGATAGTCTAGATTAAAACTAATTTGATTATGGCTGCTTTGTTTTATTTAATATTGAAAAGAAATTTATTAAAAAAACTAATTTTACTATATAAATTAATTTATTATTAGTGATTTTCTTATATTGCAATGAGAAATTGAAAATTTTATATTTTTTTTTTTAAATAAGCCCTTAATTGCGTTTAAATTATGTTCAAAATTTTGATTTTGTCATATGTAAATGACGAGAATCTAGCTTTGAATTTGCAATTGCAATAATACGCTACATAAACACAATTCAGTTAATGAGGTGTAGTTTCTGAATTGTGCTGTCAATTTAAAGTTACGTTAAGATATCTGCTAAAAAACACGAATTATCAAATTCTCAAAATAAATTAAGCCATGGTGCAGCTTAATTTAAATGGAATCTTTATGATATCAAAATTTCGTTTATTTTATTAAAATAATAATGCAAGAATCACGAATACCAACTTGAATTTTTTATTGTACCAATTTACTGATGTAAATTATAATGAAAACCATAAAATTTTAATATTATTAACCTTAGAATATTATAAATTTTTATGTAGGAAAATCAAAAATAATAAAACTGAAAATATATAATGACCCAATAAAAAAAAAAAAAACAAGGACAGATTATTTGGATATTTGCCCAAAAATTATCAATTACATACTATGTTTTTGTTTTCTAAATTTAAGCAAAAAAAAAAAAAAACAAAATTCATAATTATATGTATATAAAATTTGATTAATCAATCTAATAAAATTCAGAACTCTAGCTTTTATTTTTAATATCATAATTTTCAAATTAAAGTTTTGTTACAATCATATTGAAACAAAAGTGGGTACCTATATGATTTTATAGACAATTTTTTAAAAATTTATTAATATAAATAAAAATATTCCTTTTAAAGGGAATTTATTTCAACAAACTCAAAATAAATATGGGAAATTCCCTCAGTGTTAAATTTATAGGTGAATCAAAAATCATTCTCTTTGTTTTGAAAAAAAATCATATTGTTATTAAATAGTAATGAAATTATAATATCAAATTAAAAAAGGAAATTTGAAAAAAATTGGGAAATTCACGGAATTTTTATAGTAATTTTAGTTTAAAATTTAATTAATAATATTATTTTGTATTAATATATAAAAATTCTTATGAGGATTATACAATATAATCAGGCCGCAATTAATGACATGAAACCAATCCAAGCACAACTTGCGAAATTCGATAATTCATTCGATTATTAAATTATCGAATGAATTTATTATTTTAAATAATTTGTAGTTTTTAAATTGAATTGCATTATAAAATTACAAATACTCATTTTAATATTAATTAGTTTCCTCATTTGTTTTATATTAGTTAATTAGTTTTTCACATTTGTCGACATAATTAGTGATTCAATTTTAATAGTCTACACATGTACGAATATATCAATGAGCTTTTATTATAATTGCACAATTGAGTGTAATAATTGTGCATATATTTTAAAATTAATGACACTTTTACATTAAGAAATTGTTTATAATTTTCTACCTTAATTAATCGAACAGAATTTTTACTAAAAAATTTTTTAAAAAACTAATATAATAATATGTTGAATAAACATGCATTTCCCCCTTTTTTAATACTATACCCATTTTACCCACTCACATTGAAGTTAACTGAAAATAACGGAATTACTAAAACACTTCCACCTAAATAGTTGGAACGGGCATAGTAAAAATTTTTATTTTAGTATTATATAAACTTGCTTATATATGTCAAATTTTAAAATTTTTTTTTACTCTCTACAACCAAGAAAAAAAAACTGGATTTTACCAACAAATAAAGTCATTCTATTTTTCTCTAATTATGCCGAAAACTCTATTAACTTAACTCTTTACTAAATAAATAAAAACATTAACATAAAAAATAACACTTAAAATTTATAACAATAACCCCAAAAATAAAATAATTATTTATTTTAACAATGTTTGTTCATTAAAGTGTAAAATATTTACAGCATTTTACAACAGTAAATAAAATTATCTTTTTTTTTGTTTTCTTAATTCAAAAAGCTTCCTCTATTTAAATTTTCCAATTAATTGAAAATAGTAAAAAAACTAAATAGTTTTTTTTTTTATTATTCTGATTCTATCATAAAAATTCGTAATAGGTAACTGATTTCAATTTGCATTAAGTCCAAAACTAAACAAAAGCAAAGTTTTTTTTCACGTCATTTATAATTTTTATTAAAAAAAAGAAATAGGTAAAAATTGTGCAATACATGCAAGAAAAGAAAAAATGTATTACAGTTACGATATATTATTTTTAAGTGATGGTACTTTAAAGTTTTAATATATCAACATTGCTCCATATTGATTAGCATTCATATTGTGATATAAAAAGTGTCGGAATATAAAAAATTCAACCGGTTCTTGCCATATCGGAAAACTATGATTTCATGATTAAAATATTATCGTAGTTTTAATATCGTTTTGAATGTAAACCTATTCAAATTTCAGCAATGAACAATTATTCTTAATAAGCGTTAAAAAACCTATAATTGTGGTCTAAATGTACATATATAATAAAAAAGAAAAATCTACTCAAAATCTAAAACATTTTATAATGAAAACGATTTTTGTTTCAAATTATGTTCACAATTCTATGGAATCTATTAGCAAGAATTAATTATATGTAATTTAAAATTATATTAATTAATTTAAGTGGTATATTAATAACTAATACCTATAAACTTTAAAATAAATTATTCAAGATTTAATTCTTTATACGATTTCGAATAAGCCGTCGTGTAAGCCGTTAATCTCCCCTAATGATGTTTAGATGGTCCCTAAGATCACCAGGCTTTGGCTTCCTGTATTGCCTTATTCGTAGTGCCACATAAGGTGAATATGAAGCGGGGCCATGCCTAAGAGAGCCTCCATCAAGACCATTGGGCACGTCCTTATGGCGACCGTTATGCCAAGGCACGCGAGGCGCTGCAGTCGGGTGAAAGCAGCCAGCGCCATTGCCTGCTCAGCTTTGAGCCACCATATAACAGAAGAATACGTTACAATTGTTCGAACAATTTTTAGTGTAGGTCCAGTAGACCATTTTAGGCCTAAGACCCACTGTTTTTCCATATAGCCTCGTTTCTTTATACGATTTCGAATTTTTTATTTATTTAAATTAAATCAAACTGAAATTAAATATATAGTTTATGTTCTTTAAACTAATAATATATATTGTATACAATGTATACAATTAAATTAACCCATCACTATAATATTGTCATATTATATTTTCTTCAATTACTTTAATTAATTTTTATTAAATTACTTTTTCTATATATCTATATATTATATACTTTTTTTTTTTAGTTTTATTTGCATGCCATTATAATATAAGCAAATGAATAATATAAATCAACAAGAAATTTAAAATTTGTTTTCATTTAGTTTAACATAATCCAATGAATTAAACCAGTTTGTTAGACCTACAGATATGTATGTAGATACATACATAATAATATATTTATTATAGAATTAGAAAAAAATATTTTTAAAGAAAAATCCTTAAAATTAATTGTTTAATCACTTGAAATAACATGAAACAAATTTTAATTTTGAAGCAATTTTAAAAGTTGTCACATTTAGAGTGCATAATGAAAAAATTTTTATAAATTAATGGATTAATTTATACGAATATAAAGTGAAAAATTTTACGTGAATTATTTGTATTATATATCACATAATATTACATTATAGTGAATATTAAATTCTAAGGACATTTATTAAGAAAAAATATTAAATTTTATTCAATTAAATTGAATAAGAAAATAAAACTAATTTATAAATTTAATGTTAAAATAATGTTAAAATTATTTTTAATTTTATATAATTTATTATTAATAAGTTGTTTAAATAATTATGATCAGGATGAAATTACAAAAAGTCCATTCAGTAGTTATGAAGCATTAAATGAATATAAGAAAAATTATGCTAATAGTAAGTATTTGCTAAATTATAAAATACTTCATGTACATATACATATAAAATATTTAATATTATTGTAATTACATATAATATAAATAATCATGTAATTACGTTTGCATGTTTAAATGCGGCAATCTGTTTATCTACATAAAATAAATTTTTAAATAAAAATAAAACAAAATATGGGAATTTTTCAATGTTATTTTTATTTTGAATTTACAAAATAGCTATTATTCATTACTGGGGAATACGTTAATAAAGAATAAGAGCTGCATTGTTATCCTTGCATGTGAAAACAAATTAAATAATTTGTTTTTACATTTGCTATGCTATGACTCACTTCATTTCTAATTTTTATACATTAAAGTTATTAATTAATAATCAGCTAATCACGTTTTGTATATGCCATAGTATATAAATATTTTTTTTTAAAAAGTCCAGTACTACTAAAAATTGTAAAAATTGAAAAAAAAAAAATAGAAACAAATGATTTGAATCTAGCACGAATACAATTGTATCCTAAAGCTTTCATAAATTTTCAAAAATTAGAAATGTAATATAACTTTCAAACCCCGCACTCAATCAGTTTAGTTTTAAATTCAAGCTCATTTTCTTGCAAGTGGAAAAATTTCAAAAACAATTCAAAACAATGTTGTTTAGTTTATCATTTTAGCTACTCTTTCTTAACTAAATTTTTCAAACTTACAAGGATATTTTTTAAAAATACCAAATATAATTTTCCAAATTTTTACATTTTAAATTTTATTTCAATTAAATAAGCATATTTTCATATGTATACGGCAATAAATTAATAAATATCTTATAAAATAAAATTTTGGTAAACTAATGTGTAGATTTAAAAAAAAAACACAGTGTTTATAATAATAGTATAAGTATTTTATATTTTTTTTTTAATATTATTGTTATTTAAAATTTTTAATAAATATTTTAAATTTATGTTAAATGTATATGAATAATACTAATGACGGTAGCTGATATAAAAACAAAGTTTGACTAATTTTACAACAATATATTTTTTAATTTTTAATAAAATATTTAAAAATCAACTATCATTTTATATAACACAAAAGGATAACATTAAAACAATTTGTTCATATTAACAAGTTACATATTTAAGAATGCAATTTTGTTATAATTGCAAAAATATAATATTTATCTTATATAACAGTAAATATCTTGAAACCATTATAAAAGTTTTATTATTTAATTATTTATAAATATGTCAACATGTGATTTATCTCATATATGTCTTGTTCTACTTCAATTCAAAAAAAAAATTTGTTCCTAAATATAGTAATTCAATTGTGACTAAAAATAATCAAAAAAAAAAATTATTTTATTTAATTAAAATAATTTGCTACAAAGAATATACTACAATTTATTGAATTTCTTTCCGATTATAAAATATTAGAACAACTTTAAATTAAAATTATATTTCAATTTTTTTTAAGTACACAACAGTTAAAGTAATTATTTTGCATTTTGTAATAATAATCAATAAGTATCTATGAAAAATTTCATCAACAAATTTAATTATGAAATTATTAAAATTTAAACAAAAATAATTTCATTTGTCTTTTTAATAATATCATTATTTAATATTAAAATACCATTTTTTTCACTTATTGCTCTATCATGACGTTCTAATAATTCAACAATATATGATAAAACACCAGAAAATGATATAAAAGCACCGGCTACATAAAATGAATCATCCCATTTTAATGTATAATCATAAATTAAAGCTGCCAATGGCGGTCCTAATAAACTTCCAATACCTTCAGTTAACAAAATTAAACCATAAGCAGAAGTAAAATCATCTAAATCAACTAAACTAACTAATATACTTGGTGTAAATGAAAATGTTGATGCAAATGTTAATCCAAATATTATTGATAAACCAATTAAAGAATAATAACAATTAATTGCTAATGGCATTAATATTACTGATAAACCACATAATAACATACATATAGAATACATAATATTAACATTTAACCATGGTCTATCACCAATAAATCCTAAAGTAATCATTCCAATTGTATTAAATATACCAATAATTGATATTAAAAAGGCACTATCTTCTTCCGTATAATTATATTCAATCATATATTCTGTTATACAAAAATATGGTATTATATACCATATAAATAAAAATAATGTTGAAAAATTAAATAATGAAAATTTTAAATCTAAATATAAAGAAAAATCGCATACGGATTTTAAAAATTTTATTAGATTTGAACGCCATGTTAAATTTTCCTCCACATCTTCTTCAATATTTTTCTTTGAAGGTAACAGAATAATAGAATTTGTGCTATTCCCATTATTATTTAAAATATTTGGACAAGATGAGCTTTTATGATACGTTGTTTTATTTTTATATATATTTAAAATATTATTTCCAATTCCTCTAGCTATTATAGAATTGCGATGAAAACGAGAAGGTTGAATACACTGTTGATTTTTTATTGAACTTCTCTTCTTATAAGATGAATGACGATTGTTAATTTTCTTTAATTCAATGACATTTTCACAATTATCCAAAATAGTATCAATTTTCGTAGAAATATTTTCAGTTTTATTAGTTGATGTCTCCTTCAAAATATATAAATTTTCCAAATTCTTTTTATCGTTATTATTAATTTTTAATATACCTAAAGTATTTCTTCTTAAATCAATTTGTAAATTAGGCAAAGAATTGTGACTGATAAGATTTTCATTTAACGATAAACGTCTCTTATTTTTATATCGGCCATCAACATTATTTTCATTAATGTCTTTATTGTGAACATATTTTAAAGTAAAAGGATCAACAGACCTTTTTTCTTCTGTTGAAAACGGATTAAATGAGTTTAAGGATATATTTTCAGAAGGTGAAAGTGATTCAGCACTTGCTAAATATTTACTTGTCCTGTTAGATTCATCACATCTCTCACATATAGTACTCCTACTCGCAATTGTGGATAGACTAAAAGCAATTGAAGGAGCTTTTAAGCATTTTTCTTGTTTACTTTTTGTAGTAGTTAAGGGATAAAAATTATCTAAATTATTTTTTGGAAGAAATTCTTCACTATGATAACGTTTAATTTTGAAAATTTTTTGATTAGTAATATCTTCTATCGATTCATTTTGTTTAGCATTACAAGTTGAAACTAATGAGTCTAATATATCATCATTAGTTGCACCATCATCGATTAATTTTTTTACTTCTAAAAAATTAGTATCACAATTTAATAATGTAATTTCACTTTGGCATCTACTATCTAAGACATCTTCTTCGTTTAACCAATCAGGATCACGCATTAAAGCACCAAATACAACAGAATTTAACATTGTGCCAGCCAATATCAATGTAGCTCCTCTCCAACCATAATATTCTATTAACCATGCTGTAAATGGTGCATAAATAAATGTACCAATACCAGTACCAGAAGCTCCAATACCAGTTGCAAAAGTACGTTTCTTATCAAACCAAAATGTAATCGAAACGACTGCTGTAACATAACCAATTCCCAATCCAATACCAGATATAACACCAAATGTTATATAAAGCATTTCTATGGAACTGCATATTGAACCTAATGCAAAACCAACTGATGACAATAATCCACCGATAATAGTCATTTTACGGCAACCATATTTATCAACTAAATTCGACATTACAGGTCCTAAAAGTAATGGAACTGATAAAAATAATGAACCAACCCATGCTGTTTTTGCTTTACTCTCTTTAAAATAAGCCAAAAGTTCGGTATATAGAAGACCAAATGAAAACGAAACACCATCAGCCACTAAAGATATACAAAATGATGCGAAAACAACAATCCAACCATAACCACCATCTGGTATTTCAGGTTTTTTCGAAGATGTTGTTGAAATATCAGCTGATTCATTTGTTATTAAACGTTTACGAGGTTTTCTTATTGGATCACTACCAATATTATTAATTGTTTCGTCAAATGATACGTCCTGATGAAAATATCCATTTTCATAGAAATTATTCTGAACTTTTTTAGAACAGCAACTATCATCAACTTTAAATATAACAGTGTTATTTTTTTTAACATCACTCTCGTTATTTTTCATCACCTTTTTGCTTTCTTTTTTTTTTATTTAATTTTTGTTTTTCTTTTTGTGTTTGTATATTAAAAATGTTTCAGTTCTTCTCGTATTTTTGTTTTGCTTCTTTTCTTTCACCAGAATATTTACATATAAATTATATACAAGTTTGCATGTGTGTATATTTGTGTAGCACAACTTAAAATTTATTTATTTTTAATTTTTTGTTTCATAAGAAGATTTTGTCTACAAATTAATTTTCTCTTTTTTTTCACGACACTCTTAAAAAATTGCATAGCTTTGTCCCTGTCAAATTTTTTTTATTTTCTTTTAAATATTTTAGTTTCTATTTTTTTTTTAGCGAATAGTTTTCGAATTTTTAGTAAATATAAAGTATTGATACGCGTTGACCTAGCAAATTGTTTGACGGCGTTTAGCTTAATTTTTGTTCTGTATTACTTGGAATAACAAATATGTATGTATGTATCTGCTCAGTTCATAAAAAATATTTCAAATAGTAGTAACATTACAAATGAATTTTAATGAAAAAATAAGAAACCTTCAACTTGACCTGTATTTTAGCTACGACTACATTCCCGCACGTATATTATTATTTTATTTTCGTACAACTTAGGAAAAATATTTTTACATTGATTTTCTTTTATTTATATTTTAAGCTCTTGGACATCATCCAGATTTTCATTATTTTTGTTTCTCTTTTTTTCGATATACGATATAACATAGCAATCTAACTAACATAAAAAAATATGAATAAACAATTCTTTTAATTAAAATTTCAGTCGATAAGTATCAGCTCTTTAAAATTGATTTGTTAATTAGTAGACAATTACTTATCATTTTATTTCTAAGTAAATATTTTTTAAAACATGTGCCGTCAGCAAAAAAAAAACAAGAGAACATGAAGTGATTTAAAAACAAATATTAGGTCTAAAATATTGTGTTGTTTCATGTTCAATCTATAATATAATATGTACATATATACATATGTATTTTAAACCTTTTTTGAATAAAAGTTATCAAGGATATTTTTTTCAGGATTTATACGTCAGTTAATAACTGGTACGGTTACTGCTCCAACAGCAGTTACAAAAACAACATGTAAGTGAAACAAAATAACAAATTAAAATAAATCAAATATTTTATATACAACTCATAAATTTTTTAAAAAAACTATGAAATTTTGTTTAACTTGCGCTACAATATTTCAGTATTTGAAAATCCGTATAATACAATTATAATTCTTTATTCAAATTTTATTTAACTAATATTTAGTAAATAATGTTCTTGTAAAATGAGAATTTCTAGAGGATTTCAAACACTTATTATTTTTGATTATTTCAAAAAATATTACAAAAATAGAGAATACGAAATTTAAATATTTTTTAAAAAATGTAAAGGTATTTGTGTACCACCAGGATCATGCCCAAATCAATCAAATGATGGCAGTGGACAATTAGATATACGAATAGTTACAAATGTAATTCAATATTTTTGTGAATGAAAAATTTAACGTTTTACTACATTCAAAAAATATTTTTTAGCCTAGCGATATAAATACACCAGTTCCTAATACTTGTTCCTATGCATTAGCTCGATGTTGTTTAAATTCACCTTATCAATGTGGTGTCAGATATCCACCACCACCAGGAAGTGCACCAAGTGGTCCAGGACAAGCTGCATTTGGAGCATATCCATGGCAAGCAGCCATTTTGACTTTAGGTGAAATTTATTTGGGTTCTGGTGCTTTAGTTAGTTCAAAATATGTTTTAACGGTGGCACATAAAGTCAATAACGTACCGTAAATATGTTAAAATAATATAAGCTATAATACAGTGATCTTAAAGTTTATTCTTAACAGAATTGCATCAATTAAAGTAAGACTTGGCGAATGGAATGCTTCTGGGATTACAGAACCAATACCAGCACAAGACTTTCAAATAACTCGATTATATATACATCCAGAATTTAATTCTAATAATTTATATAACGATGTTGCTTTAATTCGTTTAGCTAGTGAAGTACAGCTGGGGCCTGTTCCAACAATAGCTTCAATTTGCTTAAGTCCAAACTCATTTTCAGGACAGAAATGTTATGTTGCAGGATGGGGTAAAGATGATTTTAACGGGTTGTATCAAGCAATTCAAAAAGAAGTAGATGTAACAGTAATATCGACAGATACTTGTCAAGAAAAATTAAGAAAAACTAGACTTGGACCGAATTTTGTATTAAATGGTACAACTTTTGTATGCGCTGGTGGTGAAAATGGGAAAGATGCTTGTACTGGTGATGGTGGTTCACCTTTAGTATGTTCATCAAACGGACGGTAAACTTTGATATAATTTAGACTATTATTTATATAATAAATATATGTTTGTCTAAATAGATGGTATGCAGTGGGCTTAGTGGCGTGGGGTATTGGATGTGCTGTGAAAGATGTACCAGGTGTTTACGTAAACTTATCAACCTATATTCCTTGGATTGAATCAATTATTGCCCAATCCTGAATACTTTTTATAAAATTATATTTTTTAAAACAACAATAACTATCGTTTCTTTTTTTCACCAGAAAACTAGTGTTGCAGAAAAAAAACTAAAGAAGTACTTACTTTGAAGAGGCTAATCTGACCGACATGTCTTCGTTCTGTTGCAATAAATGCAAACAAAGTTCATAAACTTGTGGTCTTAATTCTCTAGATAGTTTTACACCAGACCATTGTCCTAAAATATAAACAAAAATAGTAAAGAAATGATAAATTCGCAAAATTCAGAAAATTACCAATAAGCCAAATAATTCTTCTTCTAATTATCCTGCACGTGTCAGTAGTGATTTTAACTTCAGCTAAAAGTTGATTGCTAAACCATAAATCAAAATCAATCTAAAATAAATAAAACGTAATAATACCATATATAAAAAAATAGCGAAGATAACATCTTCAATTCTTGTTTTTTTTGTATTATTTTGAAATATTTTCAAAAAATGTTTAAAACTATAGCGCCGAGAAATTATAAATGTTTTTTTATTAGATTATTTCAAAATATATATGTACATTTGATAAATGTACAAAACCAATTTGAAAACTTTATGTATGAAATAATATAATTTGTGAATTACCTCATCAAATAAAATAAAAGGAGCTAAACCAGCCGCATTATAAATGGCATCTTTTAATATAACATCTTTTAAATCGGATGTTGCAGTCAATGGGTTTTCTTGAGCTTTATTAATATATTTTAAAACCTCACATCTAACTTCTGTACGGAAATGACTAAATAAAGTTAAGAAAAATGTTTCGGTACATGGTCGAAGGGCATATTTCCAACTTTCACCACCATCATCTGCCGCAAAACCTTCAGGATCTTCAATCCACATATCTAAATCTTGCTGAGTTAATAAAAAGTAGTGAGTTATAATTTTTTCACATATATAAGATAACCGTTCATTTGTAAAAAAATCTTTTTTTGTTTCTAACGCTACTGCAATGTCGACTTCAGTCGAACAATTTTCTTGAACAAATGTGGTATATGCTCTACTTGATAAAATTCCTTTCATTAGGTTTACACAATGTATTGCAAAATTTGGAAAATTTATAACATTTCCATCAAATATCATACTGGCTCCATTGTGGAAGACATAATTAAATGAAAAATTTAATGCCGTCGATATTACATTTACAAATGAAACTGGATGTTGTTCTAGGAACTCGTTTAAAATTTTTGTTTGCTTAAGTATAAATTTTTCTATTAACTCTACCAGTTCATCTGCTGAGCTTCTACGTTTCAATTCATATCTGCATTCTATTGATTCCCCAATCCGACGAAATGTTGCTTCTAAAAACATCATACAATGTTCAGATTTGTGCGGCTTATATATTCCATAAATTGTCAATTTTCTAAGTATACGCAAAGCCAAAATAGCTTTCTCTAAAAGTGATACTGTTATTTGAGATGGTCCGTTTTCTTGAAGACTTTGGAAAAATAGCGTTGTATACGTATCCCATAAATTGAGAATGTAACTATAAACCTCCGAAGTTAGTTGCTAAAAAGTATAAATATGAATTTGTTATAATATTGCAAATACAATACTTACTTCAAAATATTTTTTTTCTGGCATTAAACGTTTTGAAGATAAAGCTTTTATAACGTGTTGCAATACCAGGAGAGATCGATGCTGTTGGAGCGAATCATTACTTCTAACTGCTTCTAGCAAAACTGGAATTATTTCAGGCCATTCTTTAGGACAATCTAATCTTGCAATTTTCGCTGTTAAAGCGGCGATTTGCACAGCGACTTGTGCAACCGGTTCATTAAAATTTGATATTAATTGTGAACGGATTTTACTTTTTTCTTCAGCTTGAATCTCACTATAGTTTCAACACCTTAGTTATGTTTAATTCATTTTAAAATTGAAAAACTTACTTCTTTGCGTATTTTCTCCAATATTTATTGATTCCATTTTTTAAATAAACAGCAGCCATCCACCTTACATTTACGTCAACTTGATGATTGGAAAATATACTAACTAAAGTATAGTAAAAACCAGGTTGAATTTCCCATTCAGCTAATTTTTGTTCTGCTTGTTTTAATATCTCGGTGTCCTGACTACAAGCAGCCATGAGTGCCTGGAAAACCATTTGCTCTGGCGAGGTTCCTTCCATGATATGTTGTTTTCCAAAAATTTAAGGAATACAAAAGTTCATTACTTGGTAAATTATACTTTCATTTACGTATGCTATGCATATGGGTTATGCATATGAGGTCACGACTATTAAAAATCTTCTAACTTCAAATGGTTACAGCAATTGAAAAAAAATAAAATTAAATAATGCAATTTTTTTCGCAGTTTTTATAATCGTATTGAATTTGTTTTTAAATTTTTTTTTAATTTTATGTTTTAACTCAAAACATACGGACAAAACCAGATGATAAAGTAGCCGCAAAGTGTTGTCATTTGTCAATTATGGTTTTTGATTAATGTCACATCTCATAATGTTACGATGAGCTTACATTGGTGTTTTTCTTTTCTATGTCATCAGATTCAGAGTTGTCAAAGAAAACTTTGTCAGATGAAAAAGAATCAATCCAACGTCCACTTTCTTAAAAGCAGACTTAAAATAGTTAAATTAAAGTTTCATTTTTTACATTCAATGACTTTTGAAATTTGAAGTGTCAAAATATTATGTGAGCCCTATGAAACTTTTAAATGTTTTTGAACATGTAAACCATGATTTGACAATACTGGTCGTTCAAAAGAACATGAAACTAAATATAAAATCAACACAAACTATTTTTAACAGATCTGAATCCTCTCTGAAATCAAGAAACCATGAACTTCCATTGTTTATTTATTAAGGTTACAAAACACATTCCGCTCTAACGATTGATAATTAAACGTCAACAGATGGTGACATTTTTATATTAAAAATAAACGTGAAATTTTCAATATTAAAGGATTGATCGTCTCTCTCGCTATTTTACCCAGAACGTAAAAGAAAGTATTTATATAATGTAATTTTTGAGTGAGAAGATTATTTGATATTGTGTACCTCGTTGTTCTTAAATGCATACAAAATAAATTCACTATGTTTTTGAAAGTGAGTATTTCAGTCGATAATTTGAGAAAAAATGCAAAAATCTTATTAGAAGAATAAAGTGAGATATAACAAGTGAGAAATCTTATTGCAAAAATAAAACATAAATTAGAAAATACTGAGAATTCTGATTTGAAAATGAGTAAAAAGTAAGTAAAAAAGCGAAGTACAAAATCATGTTGTAAATCACAAAATAGACAAAATCTAAAAATATATCTACGATACAGTTCAATGATTGTTTATATATCAAGCTAAAATTATTTGATGAAGTGCATACTTTACGTCAAAATTTAACATTTTGCAATGAAAATTGTAATTAAAATAAGAATCCGCTGATAGGAGTGTTAAAAAATTGCTTAAAATATTCTTTGTCGCCATTTTGACAGTAAATTCGATGGAAATAGCGTGATTTCTATTATTTGACGTCAAACAAACTTTGATTCAATCACAAATACGACTCTTTTAAGACTCAGATTAACAACCTAATCGTGTATCTCGCTTTTTCATCTCACATTAATAGATATTTCATACTTCAGAAAAGATTACTCATTTTTAACCTGGATTTTTCGTTTAACTCTCAAATTATCGTTTGAACGCCTTACCTTCAAAAACAAAATCAATAAACTTTATGTACATTTTAGAAAAAAAGGAGATATACTATACGGAGTAATACTTCTCACTCGAAAATCGAATTTTTCAAATATATAATATTTACTCAACTTCTTCTTACATGGCGAGTAAAATAGCCAGATAGATGATCAGACTTTAAATTTCCTTGAAGTGATGTGGTTTAAAATTCTCACCACTTTTTCGCTAAATTCTTAATTTGAAGTTGTCAATTGGCATTTGACGTATTATGGCATTCTATGAATAACTTTCTGAGCTCTTGAAAGGATTTTGAAATATGAAATGATTTTGGTTTGTCAAAAACTAAAAGTTCTTTAGTTTTTTTAATTTTTGACAATTATTTGACGGCAATAAGCAAAGTATACACATTGTAAATGTACAGCGGGCCGCAGAATTTGCACTATAAATAAAAGTTGTCTGATGCAATATCATTGCAGAATAAAATTGAAATTTAAGGATAATTGAGTATAGTTATTGTAATAGTGTGAAATTTACGTTTAAAAAAGCCAAATAAAATGCCAGAAGGGAAACTTGCTGAAATGTCTATTGCAGGTATAAATAACCTATTGCATGTGCATTTAGAAAATTTAGGTTAATTGCCAACTCAATATTTTTTATATTAATATATACTTCAGATATAATATATACTTCTGAAAAAACCGGTAGTGATGAGAATGGATGTGGTACCGAGAACTCCCCGTACAAAACTATCCTTCAAGCGATGCGACATGCCGGGAAAGAACCGTTTCCAAAAATAATGGTAGATGCAAAGAACACGGATAGTGGTGAAAAATTTGAGCCTGCTGCCAAATCTCAATTGAAGAAGATCCAAAAAATTTGGGTTCGAGAAAGTTACAAGTCAGCCGAAAAAGAACAAAGGGAAGCTGAAGATATTAAGAAAAGAGAACAGAATTTGGAAGAAGCAAAAAAGATTAAAATCTCGCAAGATCCTTCTTGGCCAGTTGCTAAAAGAATAAAAATAATTGATGGGGCAAATGAGAGAAATGTGAGAGTAAAAATTTTTGGCTGGGTACATAGGTTACGACGTCAAGGCAAAGGATTAATGTTTATTACACTTCGAGATGGAAGTGGCTTTTTACAATGTGTTCTTACAGATCAGCTTTGCCAAACTTATGATGCTCTAATATTACAAACTGAAGCTTCTGTAGCGCTATTTGGTATATTAAAGGAAGTTCCCGAAGGAAAAACAGCTCCAGGAGGTCATGAGTTACATGTGGACTATTGGGAATTAATAGCCAATGCTCCAGCCGGTGGCGCTGAAAGTATTTTGAATGAAGAAGCACACCCGGATGTCCAATTAGATAACAGACATATCATGATACGCGGTGAGAATACTTCAAAAATTTTAAAAATGCGTTCAATTATTATGCAGGCTTTTCGAGAGCATTATTTCGCAAATGGATATACAGAAGTTACGCCACCAACCCTAGTTCAAACACAAGTGGAAGGGGGATCAACGTTATTTAAATTGCAATATTTCGGGTAAATATCTAGAAAAAATATAATCTTATAAAATTGCTTAACATACCGTTTTCTTTTAGTGAGGAAGCGTATTTAACTCAAAGTTCACAACTTTATTTAGAAACATGTATTCCTACATTGGGTGATGTTTTTTGTATTGCACAAAGTTACCGTGCTGAACAAAGTCGTACGAGACGTCATTTAGCTGAATATACTCATATTGAAGCTGAGTGCCCCTTTATCACATTTGATGATTTATTAGATCGTTTGGAAGATCTAATATGTGATGTAGTAGATCGGGTTTTAAAGAGCCCGTATGGTCATATTGTAAAAGAATTGAATCCAGATTTTGTTCCACCTAAAAAGCCTTTCCGTCGTATGAATTATTCTGATGCAATCAAATGGCTAAAGGATAACAATGTGACAAAAGATGATGGAACCTTTTACGAATTTGGAGAAGACATTCCAGAAGCACCAGAAAGAAAAATGACGGATGCAATTAATGAACCAATAATGCTATGCCGATTTCCTAAAGATATAAAATCATTTTATATGTATCGTTGCCCCGAAGATGGCAATTTAACTGAGAGCGTCGATGTGTTACTACCAAATGTTGGAGAAATTGTTGGCGGATCTATGAGGATTTGGGACAATGAGGAACTATTACAGGGTTACGCCCGTGAAGGTATAGACCCAAAACCATATTATTGGTATACTGATCAAAGATTGTACGGTAGTACACCTCATGGTGGTTACGGTTTGGGTTTGGAACGTTTTATGTGCTGGTTACTAAACAGATATCATATTAGAGAAGTTTGTTTGTATCCAAGATTTTTGGATAGATGTAAGCCTTAAATTATGTAATAATAATTTATTTAAAAAATAATCGTTTCAATTTATTATACGAATAATAATGCTCTTATAACTTGCTATTTAAAGGCATTTAAAGTTTAAAGCTTAAATAAAATTAAATGAGCTTAATCAATATATTTTTTATTTTTCTATATTTGAAAAAATTACCTTATCAGATAAGCAATTCAATTAAAAAGATCTTGACCTTTCTAGTTTGTAATCCGAATTTAAATGCAAATAAAGCAATTTATTTATATTTATTAAAAATTATTTGTGGAAATGATTTAACATTAAGTAACAAGTGAATTAATTCAGAGAATTAATTGTAGCTTGTCGAATACTTAATTTGAACATAATTCTTTTCTTAGATTTAATACATATTATTTTAATCGTCTCCGTTTTAGTTTAAGTACCCAATTGAATTATGTTTAATGGTCGTAGATTAAGATTTGATTAATTACAAACTAAAGCATAGATAGATGTGCATACAAAGTAAATGTAATAATAATGAAATGGAATGCAGGTAATATCAGATAACCGTTGAATGATTTAAAGAAATATCATATAGAATTATATTATAATAGAAATATATTAAATAGAAATATAGAAGGAAAATTTCAAATTTTTAATCCTGATATATGCAAAAAAACTTATTATCATACAGTTTTATACTATATACTATTAATGATTGAAAATTTTCAGCATTACATACTTTTCGGGGAATACTCAGTATATCCTATATACACATGTATGTAATTCAGATAACCTTATTTGCCGGGGAATACCCAAAATAAGAATTGCCATGATGTAAATTAATATTGTATGCATTAAAAGTAAGCACGTGAAGTACATTCACTTACCAACTTATTTTTAAAGTGCAACTGAATTGAAACGCAAAAAGCCCGAATTAAAAAATAATATGTTTCACATACGAACATTTATAAAAATAACAGGGCTAGTAAATCATTTTCAGTTATTTATATTTCACAAAAATTGAAAAATCTTACAGTACATGTTATATGAACTAACATTTTAATTCGTATACCGTATGAGTAGGATGTGTGTATGTTGTATGTTGATGGAAGTACATATGGATATATACTTATAAAAGGGAATGTACGTGATGCATGTAAGATAACCCATTTAGAGTATTAAGAAAATTACTTGTTTTAATATTTATTTTCGAAAAATTGAAATTTCGTTCGATAAATTGTTATTGGTGAAAAATGATTTTCCGATTCTTGTGAAAAACTACATACATATGTAGTATGAATATATTTCTATATGTACTTCCATATATACATATGTTCGAGATTCATTTACATAGCTACAAGACTGACATAGCTACATAAGTTTCTTAACGTATTTTCAAAAGATTTCAAAATTTACTTACATAATATACATATGTATGTTTAACGGTACTAATATATGTATGTAATATTTTCATGTTTACTGTATGCGGACTCAGGCGATATCAGAAATGTGCCTGTTAACATAAAATAAGTACATAGTATATACATAATATTGAATATATGTATATATTCAATATATAATATATTCAATATATAATATATACATATGAGCCCATTTTATCTACCCATACCTACAATTGTACGCGAACCTGATATTTCGAGATTCTCATTTAAGATCTAATATTATTACAATATTTTAATCTCGGGTTTCTAAATCTAACCAATTAAGAATTTTACATTTTACGCTATGAAAATCTAAAAGGAAATTTTTTGGGTGTTTAATTTAGAAAAGATTATACATAATTAAGTTCTGCTTCTGTAATGTAACTAAATTTAAATACCGATAAAACTGCAATTAACGTTTACAAATTTAAAATATTTATTCAAAATAAAAAATTAATATGTTTATTAATACATGCGTTATTTTAAATGCTTAACATGATATTCAATATGTTCACCAATAAAAGATGCAATATAAAAATAACTATGATCATATCCATCACGCATTTTCAAAACTACTTGGACATTATTATTTTTTGCTGAGCTTTCAACCAAATTTTCTGGTAGAAGTTGCTTTTCTTTATAAAACTTATCATCAATTCCTTGATCAATAAAAATTTCAATTGGAACTCCACTATAATTTGCAACTAATGATGTTGCATCAAACTCTTTCCAATCATTCTGATTTTCTCCTAAATAACCTTTAAATGCCTTCTGACCCCAAGGACAATTTATTGGATTTGATATTGGAGCAAATGCGGAAACTGAACAATATAATCCAGGATTTTTAAGAGCACATATAAGGGCACCATGGCCCCCCATACTATGACCACAAATACTTTTCTTATTAGACAGCATTGGAAAATTGTCTGATATCAAATTTATCAGTTCAGAGGTAACATAACTATTCATTTTATAATGTTTAGACCAAGGCTCTTGAGTTGCATCTACATAAAATCCAGCCCCAGAACCAAAATCATAACTGTCATCTTCACCGGGAATATTCACGTTGCGTGGTGACGTATCTGGACATACTATAGCGATCCCATTCTCAGCAGCATATCGTTGAGCGCCTGCTTTGATAACAAAATTTTCTTCCGTACATGTTAAACCGCTTAACCAATATAACACTGGAACCTTATTTTCAATATCAGCATTTGGCGGTATATATATAGAAAATTTCATAGAACAATTTAATGTACTGGATTGATGAGAATAGACCTAGATTAAAAGAACCCCTTATATCATTAAAATAGCATATTCAGTTTATTTTGTATATACCAACTTACATTTTGATCACCCGCGAAACATTTATTGCTTGATACCAAGGTCAATGAAGGCATTTTTATAATTTTTTTTTGGTAAAAAATTTAACTAACTGCTAACTAGTAACGTTAGAGATAAGCACAATCCACATTCCACACACATCTGAATTCTGTATTTCTGTCTGAAATACCGGTGAGGTGAGTTAATGGATGGCATGAACATGACAAAAAGTCTAGAGGTGAGTTTCTACAGTCAAAACATACTTCACAATTCCTTGTTTACAAGAAATTTATTAGAAAGTAATCAATTATTTTTATTGATATTTCAAAACAAAACTAGTTTCCACTGACTAGAAACATCCCAAATTGACAACGTTAAAAAAATTTAACAACGTTTTGTTATAGAAGTTATAAATAATGCAATAAGCAATCTAATGCAACAAACACTTTTCATAGTTCACTCAACTTCAGTTTTTATTTATATTACATTTATATTATGGGACCAGAGTTTATTGATTTTTAGACTTGTATTATGTAATGTTGAAATGGATGCCAAAGACACAAATGAGTGTACTTTATTATATTTTTACGCCAAAATTTGGTAACAACATGAAATTCTCATAGGAGTGTCACTGATGTAATTTTAATAATATTAAATTTTTTTTTCTTTAATTAATTTGAAATGTTTTTGCTTATGTAAAAAAATTGGGAAAAGAAACATAAAAATAAATCTATTATTTCCTTTTTTTGGTGAATTTACTAGAAAGCAACTGTGAAAATTTTTAATTGTCAAAATTTTGATTGTCAATTATTCGCCAATTGATTCAATTGATACATTATTCGCCTATATAATTTAATTAATATTCGTGCAAAATGATATACGTTATCCTTACTTAACGGTTTGTAGCACACAAAGAAAAATCCAAAAACATACAAAAATATATTCATTTTCTATTATTTTTAAAAGTCAATTTGCTAAATATTTTGCCTTAAAAATGTAATTATAAGAATAAAGTGTAAAGTACGAAATTGCAGTGGAAATACTGTAATAAGTATGAAGTGGGTAATTCTAAGGAAGTGACATATTGTACTGTCATTTGTCATACTGTGTATTGAGAATTGTTACTTTGTTTCATAAATATACATTTTTGTATTGAAGAAAAGCAAATAACACAAAAGCAAAAATAGACAACATAAATTTGGATAGATTAGTAGATTATTTCATCAGAATTTATTTGATCTAGTATTAAATTTAGTGATTCAAAAAAATTTTTAAATTAAAATGTGGCAAAATTTTTGTTTAAAAGGTGTCTATAAATATGGGTAAAAATTTATACGTATATTTGATTACATCAACGTATATAACAATTGTTTTTTAATTTAAAGCTCTTCAAATTTTTTGACGAATAAAGGGTACATACAACCATTTAGAACCTTCAAAAAAATTAATAGAAGTCGTGTATCAACACCAGGTCCTCCTGCAGAAGCTAAAAAAGGGAGTTTAGTTCCAACGCCTTTTGAAGGAATAAGAGCTGAAACTGGACCAATACATTCATCTTCCATAAAGAAAGCTACTGCTTTTACTATAGCTGTAAGGGATTGTTTTGTTTTTATATTATGTTTAGAAAGGAATAATAAAATTCAAATTTTAGTTTTCAGTTGGCTCGTTTTGCGGTGCCTCAATTTGGGAATATGAAAATATACGATCTCGATTAGTAAATAGAGCAAAAACATTTAACTCTATATTTCGAAATGGCCAAAGAAAAGTTCAAAATTTTAAAAATGATTTTGAGTATTGGTGGAATAGTTTACCCAAAGGAGATAGAGTATTTGCACCAATTTTAGTACTCAATCTAATAGTATTTGGTTTGTGGAGAATACCCAGATACCAACCGATGATGGTTAAATATTTTTGTTCCAATCCAGCTGCACGTAAATATAATATATTAATAGAATTTTAATCTTTTTAAATTTTATATTATTTTTAGGAGCTGTGTGTTGGCCTATGATTTTATCTACTTTTAGTCACTATTCTTTATTTCATATATTCGCCAATATGTATGTATTACATAGCTTTTCAAATATAGCGGTTGCTTCATTGGGCAAAGAACAATTTTTAGGGCTTTATTTAAGTGCTGGAGTAATATCCAGTTTAGCAAGTTACATATTTAAAGCTGCATGCAATCAACCTGGTTTGTCACTCGGAGCGGTAATAATTATTGTTTAAAATAATTTGTATCAATTTGTCTTTAAAAGATTTTTTATTTTACTTTCTTAGTCTGGAGCTATAATGGCGATTCTGTCCTTTGTATGTTTTGAATATCCTGATACTAGATTAAGTATACTTTTTATTCCAATGTACACGTTTTCAGCAGCAGCTGTAAGTTTATGCGCTTATAGAATAAATATCAAATTAATAATTTATACGAAATTTTTAGGCAATAAAAACAATAATATGTTTTGATTTAGCTGGAGTGTTATTAAGATGGAAATTTTTCGATCATGCAGCACATTTAGGGGGAGCATTATTTGGAATGTAATTTCAATCTACTTATTATTACTACGATTTTGCGCATAAATTATATTAACATCATATTACTCTTAAATTATTTTTAGGTTTTGGAGTTTTTATGGCCGAAACGTAGTTTGGCCGAAGAGAGAACCTCTTGTAAGATATTATCATCAAATGCGATCATCTAAATAAATATGATTTATTTTGTAAATAAGTTTTTGAGGATATGATAATGTCTTAAATTATTTTTTTTTTTTGTTTTTATTAATTTTAAAGTAAAATATACTGTTAAATTCTTTTATTAAGAGATTTATATAAATAGATTCGATTATTTACTTTCAACAAATAATAAGATAACAAATTTTCAAAATGAAAGAATACAGCACTATCTTATTTAGGTGAATAAGAATGCTTGTAATAAACCATGCATCGCATTGATAAGCTTTAGTATTCAGTTTTGTAAGAAAGAGAAAATTTTGTCGAACGTTTATGACAGAAGTTCGGGAGGTACATTAACGTAAGAAAAAACTATTTTACATTGAAGAAACAAGCAAGGAATTAAAGTAAAAACTGAGATATTATAATGTATAAATATACATTTTTTTATGTTGGCATTATTAATAAAAGAAAAATTAATGTCACAATCAAATCCAAAGAATTATTTTGATCATCATTAATTTAATAATGATTCCATCTCATGTTACGATAAGCAACACGGATGAAGCAGTTATTTCAATAAGTATAATAATACCTAAATAAAACGAGTGGTTTTTTCTTCCTCTTCTAAATACCTAACAATAATTATAAAATTAATATTTTTAGTTACTCCAATCAAAATATTTAATATTTGTATTACGAGAAATCGCTTTGAATGATAACTTACTTTTCAACTATCTAGTGGAACTTTTATGGAAATTATAGGTATGCTATCATTATTATCACAAGTTACATTAATTGAATCCAATTGAATATAGTTTTAGTTCTTAATATTATGTTCTATAAATTCTTACAATACTGTAAACCAGAATAGAAACTGTTTTGTATGTTCGATCTGAAATTAAAACTAGTTATGTGCATAAATATGTAATATGTAATATGTTAAAGTAATTATATGTAATATGTAACATGCATTATGTCTGCTAGGCTTTACTTTGATTCAAAAATTTCTCCAAAAATTTTGCTACTGTAAGTTGTAAATAATCAAAAACCTTTTGATTCACTTTGTCAAAAGAAACGGAAGCTGAGGCAAATCAGAATTATTCCTTGAAAATTTTCGTTTTTAAATTAGGATTGCAAATTAAAAATTAAAATAAATATTATGTATGCTATTTAACATTTTGTAGAAATTATCAATATTCGATATCAAGTACATATAATACATTAATTAATATATTATTATAGTATTATAATATATACTAATACAAGTGTACATGTTAATATTTATAATATTGAGAAATAAAAGAAATATTATCAAGTAATGGTCCAATTAGCTATATAGCTTTGAAAATAATATTCCGTAACATTAAACAACCTACTTATATGGTGGCATATAGAACCAAAAGGGAAATAGGTAATAACTTTTTAATTCACATGATGGTTAGAACTGAAAATATGCTTAATTGCTGTTTTGGATTTTAATTTTCTCCGAATTTTTCGAATTTTGTTAAAGATATTACATAAGGACTTCTTCTTTTCTTTGCCCTTTTATTCTCTTTTTTTTTCAAGAAATGCTAAAAACTTTTGCAATAAAGGAAACTTTGATTTCCGCTGTTTTACGATTTATTTATATTAAAAAAATATAAAATTATGTACATTTTATAAAGTATAAGAGATCAAAAGCAATTATTAATGAAAGTAAGTAAAACAAAAATTTTATGTTATTTTCTTGCTTTGGGTTTTCTTTTTTATTTTGAAAAATAATAAATTTTATTACATTTTTATGGCTATAACTTTTTATAGGCGTGCATTTGCATGTATTTGTCAAGGATATAATCTCAGTAATTTTAGATTTGGTATTCCGTTTATAATTTAAGTTTTAATTTTTTTAAAAGAATAATAATATTTCTTTTAATATATGATTTTTATTAATAAAAAATGTTAATAAATTGTGTTCATTTGGGCGAACTAATTAATTAAAATGCAATAAAATTCATTCTTATTTCAGGTTTGAGAAACGAGTACCTGTTGATTGTTTATCATTTCACATGGTCTTATAAAACGTAAAAGAATCATGAAACTAAAATATTCAGTGTAACAGGAGTTTAAACTGAACAAAATGTCGAAGGATGTCGAAGGAACTGAGGATGTCGAAGAATCAGACAACATTCAAAAGCAAATTATTGATGATTTCCTAAAAAGGATTTAAGATCCTTATTGAAAGCAGGATAAATTATTTGTTATTACTATTTTTTTTTTGTATATAAATACATACACAGTTTTACATTAACAATTTTAACAAGTTTTATGTTGAATATTACTTTTAAACATTAATTTTTCACCTCTGTTTAATTTACAAAGAAATATTTTAATATTTTTTTTTCGTTTTTCCAAATGAAAAGTCACCTTTTCAATTCACGTTCTTTTACTCTGCTCCTTTTTTTTTTTTTTCTTTCTTTGAATGTGGGTAATCGTTTTTAGTGTGTTTGTTTCCTTCTTATGTTTGTGCTTTAATGAGTCATTAATGAGTTCATAATGTTTTGTAGACAAGAAACACCTTTTTCCATTTATGCGCCGCTAGAAATGCCCTTTTAAAGTGTAAATAAAGAGAACATTAAAAACAAAAAATAAAACATAAGTATGAGAACAGAAAAAATTTTTTCTCCTACTATTCAAAAGTAAAAGAGAATGGAAAAAAGAACAAACCAAAAAAAAAAAAAAAAACAAACAGAAAAAGGACGAAAAATCACTGAATTATAAAATGAGGGAAAAAAAAATGAAAAAATTCCTTTTAAGTTATTGAAGTTAAAATTAGAGCATATAATAGCGTCCACGTGGAAGTTTTTATGATCTATTGGTTTTTAACATCAGCTTTTAGTTTGCTTAAGTTGATTTATTGAAGTTATGTGGTAATAGATTTTTATAAAATAAGATAAATTTACAAATAGTCTAATATGGGTGTAACCATATATTATGAGATTCTAAATTAAATGTTAGGAATTCGGTTTTTATTTTGTTTTCTTTTAGAAAATTACAAATCAAACAAAATTATTTTATTATAATTATACAAAGAATCCTTTTTTATATAAAAAAGATAACAAACACATTAATTTTATGGGTAATTTCATTCAAAACTTAGTGTACTTAGTGTTCGATTAAAAGTAAAAAAAAGTATATGAAAGGGCCTGATCGTTTTTCTTGCTATTTTACTCTCGCTAAGTGATACGTGCAGTCGATAATTTGAGAAAAAATGCAAAAATCCAAATTTAAAAATGAATCTTATTGGAAAAGTGAAACATCCATTAGAAAATACTGAGAATTCTGAATTGAAAATGAATAAATATTGAGTAAAAAAGCCAGATACACGATGAGGCTGTAAATCTGTTAATTAGGCCTAGGGTAGAAAAATTCGTAAGCTATAATTATAAACCTGAAATAGCTTAACTTGAAATCATTTAAGTGCTTAAAATGTTTTTATTAAAATATTTACTGTATATTTAGTATCTATACCATTTTATATGATATGCAGAAATCTAATTACAGTAGAGTCACACTAGTAAGAACTAATTAATGTCCGAATTTTAATAGATAACCGGAATTTTAACAGAAATGAAAGAGGTATCAAATAGACTAAAATGTAAGGAAATTCTATTGCATCTACACCATTCTTCAATATTATACTTGTATACTCATTACATTAATATATTTTTATATTATTACACGTTTTCACATGGACCATATATTTTTGAAGTTTACGTCAAAACTTATATTTTGATCATATAAGTGGGAATAAATTGATAAAACTGAGTATAGTCAATATAAATAATTTTGTGTTCTCATAACCGACCGTTCAAATATCTACATGTTAGTATAATTGCGATTCTACTGTATAATGTTTAGTGGTAGGCCACATCTTTAAATTAATCAATATTTAATTTACACAGTAAAAAACCTAGCTAATATTTTAAATTATTTTAATTATTATATGATTTTTCTTTCTAATTTCAACTACTTAACAATATCATTATTCTTAAAATATTTCATTTATTTCAATATTATTCAATTGTTGCATTGATGTTAGTAATCGGCAATAAAGCAATTAAAAGTAAAAGTTATTATAATTCTTAGTAGAAGATTTTAAAGCAAGGCCGAAATTTTTTTTTACAAAATAAATTTTAAATCCAAATAATCTAAAATATAGTAAAAATAAAAGGTTAAAATAAAAAAACAAAAAAGGTAAAAAAAACGGAACAAGTTAAAAAGGATTAAAATTATAAAGATTTACTTATATTTTTTTAAAATAAATATTTTGATTATAATTCCATGAAATATATATATATATATATACATATATATAAATTCCAAATATTGATGTAAAATGAAGAAGGAGTAAAATTATTTAAACTATAAGAAATATTAAAATACTAAGTGTACCAAAGTAGTGTGTTTAAAGAATATTTTAATAATTTCCGAAAAATCTCAAAAACAATAATTCTCTGCTGAAGTTTAGCAAAAAAAATTGTATATCTAAATAATATAAGATTTGTGCGACTTTCAAAATTACTGCAATCATACTGTTTTAAAACACTGCTCAGAAAAATACTGTTGTATCAATAAACAGCTCAATACAGACATATTCCGTATCAATATCGTATTACTATAATTTTTAATTCAGAGTATATGTCTTAATATATTCCAGATTATTTTCAGTAAGAAGACAATACTAACGTTTTTAGAACATATTTTTAACAATAATGTGCAGTTATAGTCACCGCGGTTTATATTAAAGGATTACATAATAAAAATTATGGTCGAAAATCTAAAATAAATTTATCATCCTTATGCTTTAACGAAAATAAAATTTCTTGAATTTATTGTTATATGAATAATTATTGCAACTTATGTGTACAATACATGATGTTATATTATGTTTAGTATAGGTTTATACCGTTTTACTTCTAATATCGTAAAAAAATTATATTTCCTCCGACTGAATTATTAACGGTTTAATATTATTCTTGAACTTTATTTTGCCAATATTATCAACTACTGACACAACTTGTAAAATATTTTTCACGATAAAAAAAAAAAAATTTTTTTTTATGATAATTTCTTTTATTGTAGCATAAAAGAAAATAAATTTTTTTTTCTCCTTTTCGAAATGACTGAACGACTGAATAAATAAATGAATGAATAAACCGTAACATAGATGGTAAGTTCGGGTATACTATTCTTCTTATTTTTTAGAATCATTCGTTAATTTATCTTTCATTCGTTTCCTTTATATATAGTTTATTCAACAAATTTAATTCGTAAAGCACTCGTATACATTTTTATTATAAAAATGATATAGCGAGAGCTAGCTGACAGTGTATGTATATGTATATATAACAATAATAAGAAAAAAAGCCATTAAAATGTAATTTAAATCAACGGGTACCAACAAAAATTCTTTTGATTAATTAAAATTACTGAAAGTTCATGAATTTTTAATTATAAAGACTTTTTTCCATTTGGCTTTTCTTTCCCTTTTATCCTACACATTCATTTTATATTATATTTTTAAATATCTATCTTTTAATTTTAATGAGATATTTAGGGTAATTGAGATAATGTTGGGGATAATGTTATATTAAAATAGCATACAAATTTTATATTTTAACATATTTTTAGGTAGAGTATAAAAGCTAGTTAAAAATAAAAAGAAAAATATCAATTTTTTTTTTCTTTGTATTTTAAAGAGGTGTGAATTATAGAAGTAAATTGAAAATAAAAGTAAAAATATTTTTACTATATATTATATGAATTTGTCTTTTTGTTTTTATTTGTCATATCTGTATATATAGCGTACGTTATATATAAAGGATTTTAATCGTATAATAAAGGAATTGTTAAAATCAACAGCTAGTAATTTATGTTACTTGCATACATACTTTTTATTTTTAAATCCTTTAATTCAAGAATTAGAAAAGAAAATTTTATACATATACAAACATATAATATATGTATGTATGTATAAAATAGGAAATCTATACTAATAATAATTATTTGTACATCATTCTATTAACTGTAGGTACTATGTTCAACTGTTATACGGGCATACGGCGATTTCTATTTATATTTTGTTAGCATTGCGCTTCGTTAAGTTTAATAATAAGAAGACATTTTTTTTACTCTATATTATATAATATATATAAAAATTATAATTAGTATTAAGATAAAACAAAAAATTAAGTTCAATTATAATTGCTCAAAATAATAAGAAAATAATTTTTCAGTATTTATTTTTATTTGAATAATCATTATTATAATTAAATTTTTACTCGATAAAATTTCCATTTGAAAATTTTTTTTTAATCGATTGCCATTGCTTTACAAAATAAATTATTTTAATTTGATTTTGTTAGGAAGAAGAATAAAAAAGAAAATAGACAAACGATTAACGTTATTTCATTTAATGATCAAAATTATTATATTTTTCGCGTTGTTGTCTTAGAATATTAGTCAAAGGTGAAACCTGTTGAATTTTGATTCTATTTTGATTGTATATTTTGTAATGAAATACGCACTGAAATAATGAAATAAAGATGGTAACTACAGGCCAAAATTATTATTTTAAGCAGGATGAATCACGTTACAGACTTGATATAATTTCTAATGAGCAGAAAGGTTTAATTTCGATGCGGAGCATACAAATAAATATTTAACCATCAAAATCCCAGTTGAATATTTTTAGTTTCGACAAAAAGGTGTATGACTTGGCTATAACATGCATAATTATTAACCGATTTAAAAAAAAATTAATATGCATAATGGAAAGCTGAAAAGTAGCTCTTTGTTTAACGAAAAAAGCAGTGTGTAATTTGAGACGTTACTTGAAATAATTTGCAAAATTTTGAGTTGATCTACGAATTTCGATGCCAAGTTATAATTAATGTACAATTTATTTTAAAATAACTCAAGTTTATGTGTAATATTTTAAGCAATAACTTTTTGAAGTGTAAAAATATAAGAGCGTATAATGCCCCACAAGTTTATATTAAATTATAATTTTTATATGTTGTTATATAATATTCCATTGCAATAATAATTTATGAAATGTAAAATTATTATGTTACCCGATAACATAATATGGAAACACTTCTTTTAAATTTAATAATAATTTTAATATTACGTTGACATCAGCTAGCATACCGAATCCCTTTTATCGAGACGACATATAATGTAAATGAAAAGCAATAGCAGTTCTAGTGCCCATGCAATATAGCTATGAATATTACGAGTTTT